TCTTTTCACTCGATTTAAAATTTTATAACTGAACTCGAATGGCGAAACATGGTTCTCGTTGAGAGAATATAGAATATTGAAAGGGTCAAGTCAAGTGTGTGGATGAGAACTGAGCAGCAGTGCAGTGTACGGTGGTAAGATTGTCCAAACGAAAAAAAAAGAAAAGAAAAAGGTACGGTGGTAAAATAAATAAATTTCTTCTGATTTTCTCATCCCAAACGCACCAGACTTTATTTTACTCTGCCGGCACAGCGAGGAGAGGAACTTAGAAATTTCTGCTCTGCACCGGAAACGTACCTTCTCCAAAATAAGGTAAATTTCGAGATTCCAAAACCCTAGCTTTTGCGCAGATGTTTCTGTTTTGTTACAGACAATTTGGCATAATCGTTCTCGTATCCTTCTCAATTCGAGTAACAATTTCTCTATTTTAATTCAATTTCGCGTTCCGTTTGGTTGGTAAGAAAATGCGGGAAAACCGACGGGAATTCGGAGGTTTGTGACTGTTGCTGGTCGCCAATTAGCCTTCTGTGAAGTTTTGGGGGTTTTGTCTTTGCAATTTCCCGCTGATTCTTAGCAGCCAAACAGGGAATTAACTGAATTCATTTTGTTTAGTTGGATTTGTAACATTTTAATGATCTGGTAATGGGTTTTATTTCTTCATATTGAAAATTTAAATTTTGAACTCTTTTGGCTTTTTTTTTTTTTTCCTTTAATTGTTTTGATTTGTTCTTGACGTATTGAAGTTGGAATTTGGGGCTGTGTGTGTTTCCTTAAGCTAATTCTGAATTAATCCTGCTTATCAATTTGCATGTGTTATTTGAGGTCATTTCTGCTTTCTTTTGAGTTTACTGGACTGATGTTGTGAACATTCTTGATTTGAATTTTAAGTGATTTTCTGGTTTTTCTTGTCATGATTGTGTTAATGTTGATTGCTATGTTTTAATCGGAAGTTAAAAGGTAAAGTAATACAAGCGGGGTTGGGCTAGATGATTTAGTTGAAGGGAAGGGAAAGTTATAGGGAAGAAAATGACCAAGCCACTCTGCGCCAAGTAATTCAAAGGGTATATGGTAAAAAAAAAGTGGTAATTTAAAGGGTATGGTAAAGTAGATTTATGTAGAACAAAAGTGGAATGCATATTTGATTAGGAGCTAGCACAGGTATCTAATTTTATCACACTGTATAAATTTCTACATTCAATGATCAAAAGATACATCTATTGGTTTC